CAAGCATTACGCAGCGACAGCACAACTGAAGAGTCAGGGAACTCTGACCGGTAGAAACGCTAATCTGGGTTAAGTGGATTTAATAAACTCTGTAATGCCAGCTGGTCTCATTTAAAAACTGGATCATATTAACAGATTTGTTGAACAAGACCTACAGTAATACTAGGGGTATAAGTAAAGGCCAACTCAATCAACACTATGTTGTGTTTTTAACAGCAGCGTATTGACTTTTTTATTGCAAATTTACATGTAAACATTTAATTCAATTGAAACTGACTGAAACATTTAGTGCATTTGTTTTGTGTGGGGCAACTCAGACTCAGAGCTACAGTAGGTAGCAGCCTGATGGAACAGGGTCGTGTGCGAACACTGAATTTATCTCGGACGTGAGTAGCCTGGCCAATCAAAGGGCCTGGTAACACTCCTGTTTAAATAACCCCACCCCCTGAGAATTCTAACCGAGCCAATCAGCGCTGAGCAGCACGACACACACTGCAACGCTCAGGTTCCCATCAACAACAAAGATGGCGTCTGAAGCGGAGTTCGCTGCGGCTCTTTCCTCTATTCCAAATGACTCGGACACGTCTGTAAAACCACAAGTAAGAAAAGCCTTTCTTTAAACTAAATCGGTTTGCGCCGTCGCCAGACGCCATTCTTGACTACAGGTAATAAATTACAGCGCCGCGTGATACAGCGATTGGTTATTTTTGAGCTGGCTAGTCCCGCCTCTCACGGCGCTCTCTGCCTCGAGTATCCAGACTCGTCCTCTGTGTAGAGTAGACAGAGTCAGGCTAGGAAATGAGGGTGCTGGGCGATACAACGATACCAAAATCACTTTTCATCGACAGACGAATGAGAACAGGTCAACATGAAACTTCGATATAAACAACAGATCAAAAGCCAATCTGATTGAGGGTTACTTCACGCTGGACCAATCAATGGTGGGACTAGAGCAACACACTGGCCAGACCTGCTGCTAGTGGCTGTTAGCTGTAGCCTCTTGCTGAAGCTAACAGCCAGGAAGCGGTGAGTAAAGTCCAGCAGGTGCCAGTGTCAGAAAGAGGCAAAAAAGAAACTCCCAGGACTCCCTCCTGGAGGAGTGCTGAGAACCTCCCTTTTCTTAAAAAGAGACCCGGTATTGTCCACGTCCAGGACATGGAGACTTGGTACCCCTCAGCTACTGGTGGGGGGCTCCGAGCTTTAGTGAAAACTTGGGAGCTACTATTGAGGGAACCTTGAGGCCGATGGCCGATCAGATTTCTGGGCCTGAGTTAGCTCCAGGCTGAACAGCTGGAGGTAGAAGGACTGAGGCACATCAGAGTGACCCTGTCTGATGAACGTAGCTAGTTTTAGGGCGGCGGCTGTTGCGGTGCCGGAATGCTTGTTCTCTACTGCCGCCTGCAGCTGGGTGTAATCATTTCTGATTTCATCCCGCTGCCCGTCAATGAACTCCCCCACGCTGTCGGAGGTGTCTTATCAGGAAGATCTTGTCCTGGAGAGCAGCTCCAATAATGGCAGTGCCAATAATGTTGACGGCACGCTCCAACAAAGTTGGAAAAAACCCACAGATGTCATTTGAGCCGCACACCCAGGGTGCCCTGGGGCGTGTCCCCACCGATATTTATAAATGCTCCCACCACCGTTATGAAACCGTTATGGCAACTATTGCCAGGGTGGACCTATAGAGCCTCAGCCACAGCCATCTACTTCCGGACCACAGGTCTGCGGAAGAACAAAGGAATGAATGCAGGTAAAAGGTGTTTAAAACGCTTTTTCCTAATCCCGTTGGTTTTGTGCCATGGATTTCACATATGATGTCCGTGGATTTTAAAGAAACTTGTGCTTATTTTCAAACGGGGGAAACACTTCTTTAGGTGTTGTGTGAAAATAAGTCCGGGACTACAAATGCGCTTCACGAAAGTGACGTCATCGAACCAGACACGGAGAAAACGGAGGAAAATGGCCGTAAGCAAACTGTTCAGCTGTTCAGCAAACTTCTAATGCTTTCTCTTAAGGAGGAAGGACCAAAATAAATCTTGCCACAAGGTAAGTAGCAGCTAAGATGTGCAGCAGACATTTGATTCGTGGACAGAAATGGCAACAAACTAACCCTAACCCTAACCCTGAATCACACACCTTCTACTTCAATTTAAAGTGTTTTTCAACCACACCTGTCACGTATCAGCTTGTAAAAGTTTGTAATCGGCATGACTACAAACAGGACATTGGTGTCACCAACCGTTCCCATTTCATTAAGGTGTATTCATACAAATGGCCCACCCAGTGGTCACATGACCGTTATGGCCACAGCCATTTGTGAGCACTTTTCCCTCCCCTTTCCAAAGTGCTGCACCTGAGGAGCTGTCCATTCAGCACTGTGCCCGCCTCCCCCTGCACAGCTGGTTCTGCCCGGCATCACCAGCTGTGCAGGGTTACCATCAGTGGCTGGAAGAAGATACCAGAGCATGGAGAACCTTGTGAAGCACACCTTCAACACGAA